TTCCTGCTGTCAGGAGCTTGGCAGCACCCTGGGGATGCTCCTCAGAGCTTTTCAGTTAAAACACACACACACACACCCCTTTGCCTTCTCCCCTGTGTCTTGTCTCCTGCCCCATATGGTGCTGTCTGTCCTGTGTTCACTGCTGCCCTCAGCCTGCCCGAGATCTCCACTGGGTCTGCTGAAGTCAAGAAGAAGTCCCTTCCAGGTAGGACTTCTACAGCAGATTGGGCCTGCAGGTCCTGCTCAGCAAAGCTACGAGTGCTCTGCAGCCCTCCACACTGGCTTTTTCCTTGGCAGAAATGGTATCACAGGAGGGCTCCAGATCTGAACCGTTCTGCTTGAAGATGCAGGGAGGAGAAACAGCAGGGAGAAGAGTCTGTCAGACTTTTACAAGCCTCTGAGAAAGTTTGACTCTATTTTCCCCAGCTCTGCCCCCCTGACACATTAAGGGCTGGAACTGATGAGTCCTCCCTGCTCCTTCCCACACTTTTTCATGTCTCCTGCAGCAGCACAAAGGGGTGTTTTTTTCATGAGTGAAGGGAAGAATAAAATCTCATTGGAAAGTTCATCAACTTCAGGCTCCTGCTCAGTGAGTGATAGATAGCTTTAATTACACTGAGCTAGTTGGCATCCCTGCTACACTCCCTAAAGTCATTAAAAATAGATTTTGTGTCAGAGCTGGGGCTGCCCAAGGGGTCTGCAGGCAGGGCCAGGGCTGGAGCCAGCCAGGGAGGTTGGGGGCCCATGCTGGTTACAGGCATAAGCTACAGAAACTTTGCTCTGTTTGTTTATTTTATGTATTTTATTTTCTCTGGGGGCTGGCAAAGTTTGAATTCATGTGGTGCAGAGAGTCTGTATTGATTTATGTTTTTTTAAAGAAAAAAATTGCTGATGTTATGGGTCAGGCAGTCAGGGAAAGCAGTAATGAGACTTTATCATTTAATTATTGAGAAACGGGTTCATTTTGGCATGGATAGAAGGAAAAGAGGAAGCAGTTGGGCTGAGGAAGAGTGCTCTGCCCTCAGGAGTAAGGACATTCTCCAGGAGTGTTTGTGTCTTGGCTGTTGTTCTTCAGGCAGGTGCTACTCAGCTCTGCTGGTTTGGTGTGGCTGTGATCATCCTGGTGTGGAGTGCCTGTCACCCCTTCTTGTCCCCAAAACAACCTGCTGCCTGTTTCAGCACAGGTGCCCCGACCCCCCAGGGGTCCCTGGGCTCTGCAGGAGTCTCTGGTCTCCCAGGTGAGGAGGTGCAGGATTTGAGGCTGCACGTGGAAAAGCCCCACATGGCTTCAGGACCTGGATTTCATGTTTCTGGTAGGATGAACAGAAATCTCCAGGCATCCACAGTTGGTGTCTGCTTTCCAAAGCTTAGGCTTGACTGTGAGCTCTGCTGGTGCTGCAGGGTGGGGGCTGACATCGGACTCTGCTCTCTGGGTACTTGAGAACATTATGCTCTGTGGATAAATTCATCAGCTCAGGCAACAGCTTTCTTGGGGCTTAGTTTAGGGTGAGGAATACACTCCTGAAGTGGTGATAGACCTTCCCAGATGTTTGCTCTGAGTGCCATGAGCATTCCTCTGACCTATCTTCTTTAATGTAAGCAAAGACAAGTATTTGCATTGACAAACTAAATACTGAAAACCAAAGCTCTTTCCAAAGAGCCCCTTCTGCTGCACACGGAGCTGCCCCAGGGGCTGGCGAGGATGAGAGAGCAAATACACCAGGCTGTGACAGATGGGAGTCACATTGGTTGCTCATAGCCGAGAAGTGCTGGTACCTGCTGGGATGGGGATGCCATGAGTGCCTCTGGCTGTTGGAGGGGAGCTGAGCAGGAGGGACCCAGCTATGGCCACGGTTTAGGGTCACTGATGGCTGCCCCTGCTCCTTTCCTGCTCTCTGCCTTTGGAAACCTTGGGCCCTGTCAAGACTGATCCTCAGAAGCCTCGTTCCCCTTTTGCTGGGAGCTGAGCTGCTGGTGCAGGCAGGGAGGGGCTCACTGGACTCTTCTTTTGAGGCTGAGCAGGATCTGTTCCTATCATCAGAAGGTCAGCATGCTGCTGTGATTCTGGGCAGAAAGAGAACCCAAATGCCTAACAAAATATTTTGTAATGAACTGTTAGTCACATAATTCACATCCTCTGGTATTTATAGAGCACCACGAGAGCATCCAGCTCCTCACAAACAAGAAACAAGCCCTGAGCTGCATTTAAATCACTGGGACAGATCCTGTCAAACCTCATGTTGTGGGTAAGAGGAGAGGGATCAGCAGTGCCTGATGATTTTGGGGCTGTCCTGACCTCCAGGGTGGGTGTTGTGCCATCCCACCAACACGGCTCAACATGCTGGGCAGATTTTAGGGGAAACCAAATGACCTCCCTCACCACATCCCATGGTGGCTGGTGACTCCCACAGGGGCTGCTGAGTCCTTTGCTTTGGAAAACATACACCTGTTCCTGGGCTCCCACCCAGGAGCAGCACAGTGTCTGCACCTCTGCTCTGCACTGGGAAATGTTGGATCATGGCTGGAGATGGGGTTGGATGGGCAGCAGGGCATGGGCCACCCCAGGGAGGCTGTGCCTGCCACCAGGCTGCTGTGACACCACCACGGTGTCTGAGAAGTGCTCTGGGGTTCTTAGAGGGAAGAAACAAAGTGGGTAAAGCTGTGTCATGTGTGGTGACCTGAGGTGCAGAGCCCTGAGGGGGGGTTACCCTGGGTGCCTTTCACAGCCAAGAACCAAACCCAAGCCCTTTCCGTACACCAGTTCCACCACCCTGCATTTCTTCTCCATTTCTGAAGCTCTTTGCAGCCTTCAGAAGGCAGATGCTTGCCTGGCTGAGCACCCCTCAGTCCCTGTCCCATGGTTGCAGCTCCAGGGCTGCTTTGCCCTCAGGGTACCCCAAGCCAAGCCCTGTGTCCCACGCGTCAGCGGAGAAAAAAGCCCCCAGCCCCGCGCATCCAGGCTGGATTTTTGTTTTAGGAAAAGCTGTCAAGTAGGGCTGAGGAAACAAGAAGAATAGCAGCCCTATTGGTGTCGTGTTTAGAGAGGAACTGGGTTCTCACTGTGTCAACAGCACTTGGCGTGAAAGTGGCCGTTGTCTGGCGAGACACTGAGCCTTTCACCCCGCGCCCAGCTGCTGGGCCCTG